TTTCTCAATCACGGGACATGATGCTCTTGGTTTTCTTTTGGTTTCATCTAGCAACCTATGACAAGTTTGGGGAGTGTCTGTCAATCACGGGACATGATGCTCTTGGTTTTCTTTTGGTTTCATCTAGCAACCTATGACAAGTTTGGGGAGTGTTTGTCAATCACGGGACGTGATGCTCTTGGTGTTCTTTTTGTTTATTCTAGCAACCTATGACATAGTTTGGACAGTGTTTGTCAATCACGGGACATGATGCTCTTGGTCTTCTTTTGGTTTCATCTAGCAACCTATGAAAAGAGTGGGGAGTGTCTGTCAATCACGGGACATGATGCTCTTGGTGTTCTTTTGGTTTCATCTAGCAACCTATGACAAGTTTGGGGAGTGTTTGTCAATCACGGGACATGATGCTCTGGGTGTTCTTTTGGTTTCATCTAGCAACCTATGACAAGTTTGGGGAGTGTTTGTCAATCACGGGACATGATGCTCTTGGTTTTCTTTTGGTTTCATCTAGCAACCTATTGCAAGTTTGGGGAGTGTTTGTCAATCACGGGATGTGATGCTCTTGGTGTTCTTTTGGTTTCATCTAGCAACGTATGACAAGTTTGGGGAGTGTCTGTGAATCACGGGGCATGATGCTCTTGGTTTTCTTTTGGTTTCATCTAGCAACCTATGACAAGTTTGGGGAGTGTCTGTCAATCACGGGACGTGATGCTCTTGGTGTTCTTTTGGTTTCATCTAGCAACGTATGACAAGTTTGGGGAGTGTCCGTCAATCACGGGACATGATGCTCTTGGTTTTCTTTTGGTTTCATCTAGCAACCTATGACAAGTTTGGGGAGTGTTTGTCAATCACGGGACGTGATGCTCTTGGTGTTCTTTTTGTCTATTCTAGCAACCTATGACATAGTTTGGGGAGTGTTTGTCAATCACGGGACATGATGCTCTTGGTCTTCTTTTGGTTTCATCTAGCAACCTATGAAAAGAGTGGGGAGTGTCTGTCAATCACGGGACATGATGCTCTTGGTTTTTTTTGGTTTCATCTAGCAACCTATGACAAGTTTGGGGAGTGTCTGTCAATCACGGGACATGATGCTCTTGGTTTTTTTTTTGGTTTCATCTAGCAACCTATGACAAGTTTGGGGAGTGGTTGTGAATCACGGGACATGATGCTCTTGGTGTTTTTTTGGCTTCATCTAGCAACCTATGACAAGTTTGGGGAGTGTCTGTGAATCACGGGACATGATGCTCTTGGTGTTTTTTTTGTTTCATCTAGCAACCTATGACAAGTTTGGGGAGTGTCTGTCAATCACGGGACATGATGCTCTTGGTGTTCTGTTGGTTTCATCTAGCAACCTATGACAAGTTTGGGGAGTGTGTGTCAATCACGGGACATGATCTCTTGGGTTCTTTTGGTTTCATCTAGCAACCTATGACAAGTTTGGGGAGTGCTTGTCAATCACGGGACATGATGCTCTTGGTGTTCTTTTGGTTTCATCTAGCAACCTATGACAAGTTTGGGGAGTGTCCGTCAATCACGGGACATGATGCTCTTGGTTTTCTTTTGCTTTCATCTAGCAACCTATGACAAGTTTGGGGAGTGTTTGTCAATCACGGGACATGATGCTCTTGGTGTTCTTTTGGTTTCATCTAGCAACCTATGACAAGTTGGGGGAGTGTTTGTCAATCACGGGACATGATGTCTTGGTGTTCTTTTGGTTTCATCTAGCAACCTATGACAAGTTTGGGGAGTGTCTGTCAATCACGGGACATGATGCTCTTGGTTTCTTTTGGTTTCATCTAACAACCTATGACAAGCTTGGGGAGTGTTTGTCAATCACGGGACATGATGCTCTTGGTTTTCTTTTGGTTTCATCTAGCAACCTATTGCAAGTTTGGGGAGTGTTTGTCAGTCACGGGACATGATGCTCTTGGTTGTCTTTTGGTTTCATCTAGCAACCTATTGCAAGTTGGGGGAGTGTTTGTCAATCACGGGACATGATGACCTTGGTGTTCTTTTGGTTTCATCTAGCAACCTATGACAAGTTTGGGGAGTGTGTGTCAATCACGGGACATGATGCTCTTGGTTTTCTTTTGGTTTCATCTAGCAACCTGTGACAAGTTTGGGAAGTGTTTGTCAATCACGGGACATGATGCTCTTGGTTTTCTTTTTGGTTTCATCTAGCAACCTATGACATAGTTTGGGGAGTGTTTGTCAATCACGGGACATGATGCTCTTGGTCTTCTTTTGGTTTCATCTAGCAACCTATGAAAAGAGTGGGGAGTGTCTGTCAATCACGGGACATGATGCTCTTGGTTTTTTTTGGTTTCATCTAGCAACCTATGACAAGTTTGGGGAGTGTTTGTCAATCACGCGACATGATGCTCTTGGTGTTCTTTTGGTTTCATCTAGCAACGTATGACAAGTTTGGGAAGTGTCCGTCAATCACGGGACATGATGCTCTTGGTGTTCTTTTGGTGTTATCTAGCAACCTATTGCAAGTTTGGGGAGTGTGTGTCAATCACGGGACATGATGCTCTTGGTTTTCTTTTGGCTTCATCTAGCAACCTATGACAAGTTTGGGGAATGTCTGTGAATCACGGGACATGATGCTCTTGGTTTTCTTTTGGTTTCATCTAGCAACCTATGACAAGTTTGGGGAGTGTTTGTCAATCACGGGACATGATGCTTTTGGTTTTCTTTTGGTTTCACCTAGCAACCTATGACAAGTTTGGGGAGTGTTTGTCAATCACGGGACGTGATGCTCTTGGTGTTCTTTTTGTTTATTCTAGCAACCTATGACATAGTTTGGGGAGTGTTTGTCAATCACGGGACATGATGCTCTTGATCTTCTTTTGGTTTCATCTAGCAACCTATGACAAGTTTGGGGAGTGTTTGTGAATCACGGGACATGATGCTCTTGGTCTTCTTTTGGTTTCATCTAGCAACCTATGACAAGTTTGGGGAGTGTGTGTCAATCACGGGACATGATGCTCTTGGTGTTCTTTTGGTTTCATCTAGCAACCTATGACAAGTTTGGGGAGTGGTTGTCAATCACGGGACATGATGCTCTTGGTTTTCTTTTGGTTTCATCTAGCAACCTATGACAAGTTTGGGGAGTGGTTGTCAAACACTGGACATGATGCTCTTGGTGTTCTTGGTTTCATCTAGCAACCTATGACAAGTTTAGGGAGTGTTTGTCAATCACGGGACATGATGCTCTTGGTGTTCTTTTGGTCTCATCTAGCAACCTATGACAAGTTTGGGGAGTGTCTGTGAATCACGGGACATGATGTCTTGGTGTTCTTTTGGTTTCATCTAGCAACCTATTGCAAGTTGGGGGAGTGTCTGTCAATCACGGGACATGATGATCTTGGTGTTCTTTTGGTTTCATCTAGCAACCTATAGCAAGTTTGGGGAGTGTTTGTCAATCACTGGATGTGATGCTCTTGGTTTTCTTTTGGTTTCATCTAGCAACCTATGACAAGTTTGGGGAGTGTTTGTCAATCACGGGACATGATGCTCTTGGTTTTCTTTTTGGTTTCATCTAGCAACCTTTGACAAGTTTGGGGAGTGTTTGTGAATCACGGGACATGATGCTCTTGGTGTTCTTTTGGTTTCATCTAGCAACCTATAGCAAGTTTGGGGAGTGTTTGTCAATCACGGGACGTGACGCTCTTGGTTTTCTTTTTGTTTCATCTAGCAACCTATGGCAAGTTTGGGGAGTGTTTGTCAATCACGGGACATGATGCTCTTGGTGTTCTGTTGGTTTCATCTAGCAACCTATGACAAGTTTGGGGAGTGTTTGTCAATCACGGGACATGGTGCTCTTGGTGTTCTTTTGGTTTCATCTAGCAACCTATGACAAGTTTGGGGAGTGTTTGTCAATCACGGCACATGATGCTCTTGGTGTTCTTTTGGTTTCATCTAGCAAGCTATGACAAGTTTGGGGAGTGTTTGTCAATCACGGGACATGATGCTCTTGGTTGTTGTTTGGTTTCATCTAGCAACCTATGACAAGTTTGGGGAGTGTTTGTCAATCACGGGACATGATGCTCTTGGTTGTTGTTTGGTTTCATCTAGCAACCTATGACAAGTTTGGGGAGTGTTTGTCAATCACGGGACATTATGCTCTTGTGTTTTTTGTTTTATCTAGCAACCTATGACAAGTTTGGGGAGTGTTTGTCAATCACGGGACATGATGCTCTTGGTTGTTGTTTAGTTTCATCTAGCAACCTATGACAAGTTTGGGGAGTGTTTGTCAATCACGGGACATGATGCTCTTGGTTTTCTTTTGGTTTCATCTAGCAACCTATGACAAGTTTGGGCAGTGTTTGTGAATCACGGGACATGATGCTCTTGGTTTTTTTTGGTTTCATCTAGCAACCTATTGCAAGTTGGGGGAGTGTTTGTCAATCACGAGACATGATGATCTTGGTGTTCTTTTGGTTTCATCTAGCAACCTATAGCAAGTTTGGGGAGTGTCTGTGAATCACGGGACATGATGATCTTGGTTTTCTTTTGGTTTCATCTAGCAACCTATGACAAGTTTGGGGAGTGTTTGTCAATCACGGGACATGATGCTCTTGGTTTTCTTTTTGGTTTCATCTAGCAACCTATGACAAGTTTGGGGAGTGTTTGTCAATCACTGGACATGATGCTTTTGATTTCCGTTTGGTTTCATCTAGCAACCTATGACAAGTTTGGGGAGTGGTTGTCAATCACCTGGCATGGTTCTCAGGTTTCCTGTTTGTTTCATCTATCCAAAGCACAGTCCGCATGGACATACTGTGGATGGACGCAATCCATTTCGCATCACCTGAGAAACCATAGAATGATGATTAAATCCCTCTTAAATACCAACAAGCAGTGGTTTCAACCATGGTTTTTGAGTTGTGCGAACGGATTTCGTACATCCACAGTATCATCTACCAACAAGCTGTGGTTTCCCATTAAAGGACCGTCCCCATGGACATCTCATCGACCCGACTCGGAAATCCGCGAAGGCCAGCAAGAACAGCGAAGCGGCCCTGCCGCGGGCCCTTCCGGGTAGCCAGCCTCAGCGCCTTCGACGCGAACTTCTGCCTGAAGCCCGGCGTGGAAAAAGAACAGACGGCGCTCCTTTTCGAGTTCGAGACGCAAAGGACAAATTGATCAGGTTGTGTTCCCGAAAGAGAAGAAGTGTTGTTAATTATGTCTAAAAGAGTTTGATTGGAGAATGGCTGCCCCAAGACCAAATTGTCCAAAGGCGCCCGAAATGGGCATTCTATTATCTAGCAACTTTAGAATGAAGAGTATAAAACAATTGATATTATAGAAATCCTTTAGTCTCTGATATGTGGATTTCTTCTTGGGATTTCTTGGGAGCTACTTTAATAATATGAAGATATACAGAGAATGCTGACAGGAAATATTACGAACATGAATCTGTCTTCTCTTTCTAGTTCCCATTGCTTCATCTGGATTCACTTGATGGTTGCCTTGGGGATGATAATGGATTCGTTTTTATTAGTCTTTCATATTGTTTGTTTTATCCATCCATAAGTCTCTGAAATTATCTTTGCGTTAGTTGCCTCACATTAATCTGTCTTAGAGAAATTTGTTATTTTGTTGACGTCCATTTGCACTTTGCTACCTATTTCCTATGGTTCTCAAGGGCCCTGAATGGGGCCCTATTCAATCCAAACAGGGGCCAATAGCGACTAATAGGGTCTAGGGGCTTAGAGGGCTTCTTTTTGGGGTCAGTGCCAGGGCGCTGGCAACCCGCTGGTGGATTTGGGAGAATGGTGGCCAGCGGCTTTCGATTTTCAGGTGCCAGTCGGAAGAGCCGGCAGCGAGCTGAATTGAATCAACGCCTCAGCTACTCCTCAAACGGCAAACTCTGGAAAGACCAGCCAGGAAGCCTGGTTCCTCATGGCTACACATGGAAAACCCGTCGTCTTCCTTATGTAGCTCAAAATCCACATGCAGCATGTGGGCATGAAAGAGAACTTGTCGTGGTCGGCCAGTTTCAAAGTATTCTTTGAAGCTGGCCCAACGCATTCCATTGTTGTTAGATCAGCCATACTTGTCAAGGGTGCCCTATGAACACCGAGACGCAATCTGTGGGAATATCTAGTGGCAATTGCACTGTGCAAGAAGCAAAAGCAAAGCTGGATCGTGGACTTGGCAGAAAGGCGCTAGAGCGCATGCCTAGGCGCATAGCACCGGTTGTTGGAATTGGGCACTTTCACTCCGGCAGGCACATGCATGTGTCTCACAGTTGGGAACCACCAAAGGGCTTCCGGTGATTGGTTTCCTTCTGGTTGCTGGCCTTATCAAGTTTTTCAAAATGGATTCCCAATTTCAATTCATGCCTAGATCTTGTGTCCATCAATGTCACTATTACAATGGTGGCATGTTGCTTTGTTTCCTGGCAGTATCAAGAGGGAAGGTCGTGATCCCGACTTGCAATCTGTTCCTCAACCGCAGCCACGGCGACAACTTTCTCTTGATGTTGGGAACCAGATCATTTGCTCTCCCACAAGTCAGCTGCAGATCCTTTAAGTGTCAATTCGGCCAGACAGATCTGGGCCTCGGCCCTCTCATTGCGGTTACGGAGCTTAGTACTAACATGTTGCTGTGCTGTGTATCCGGGAACTAGGGATCCTTCGGGAATTTAATTCAACGGAAATCCAAAGGAAGCCAAGCATTGTGGATGGTTTCCAGGCTTTGACACAGTGATAGCACGTTGCTAGCACCGGAGCAACGTCCTTGCTCGAACCCGGCAGAACGCTCTGCTGTGAGATGACCAGAGAGCCAAATCTAGATGTGCACGTCATGGTTTGAACAATGCAGTCCCAACTTTGCATCATAGCCTCACAGCATGTGGAATTTATATATTGGATTGCACATCACACAACTCAGAGTGGAACCAAAATGCACCATCGCCTTTGCGCTTCACACTGGCTGCGCATTGCCTTTCACCGTGCCTGTGGCTATGGCCTTGGCACTGGCGGAACAGGCGCACCATGGGACCTGTTGGCCCAGGAAAGGGGGAGGGTCCGAACTGTGTCAGCGCTCCTTAAAAGAAATTCATTTTGCAACCATTTGAAGCATGTTGCTTTTTCAACACCAAAATAAAGAAATGGAAACAACACCATTTACAAGTTGCAATGTTCAGGTGTGTTTCATGCATCCGGATCCCTGTTGAATCTCTTGATCAAATTTCATGATACCATCCCCAATCATGGGATTGACTTGGGGAAGGCATGTGATCCGCGCATTTTGTGTTTGTCCCACTTTGAAGGTCCCACTGTCGGGGTTGCACGGTCAAAATTAAACCCTAGGTTTCGGCCCATCTTTTCCCAAGGGTTGCATATGGGGTACCTATTTCTGACCCACAGACGTAGATTCATTCATTTTCGGGTACCTATTTCTCACCAGACGTAGATTCATTAAAAACAAGTTTTCGGTCCAGAGTCCCCCACTCTCTGGGGGGGTCCAAGGCGAAAATTTCCGTCGAGAGATCTGCCAGGCTGGCCTTGAGCCCCAGCTGGCCCTGAAGCCGGGGGCCCCGGCGTTTATGACATCGACTCGCGGAAGAACTGGGGCATGTGTCTTTCATAGAGAGAGCCCCAAAACTTCCCCAGAACTAGCTCCCCTTTTCTTTTCTTTTTTTGCTTCTTTGGGGTCCCTTTGTTTTCCACTACCCAGGCAAAAAGGGTAATTGTTTGCTGGGGTCCTAATTCCAGCCTAGAAAAATGGTGGTGTTACTCTTGGTGTTCCTTCAAACCAAGCTGAAAAGGGTGAACAACATATCCAAATTGAGGAAGATGTTGAAGCCACAGTGGCTTAGAGATGTTTATTGAAAAGCGTGTTGGCCCAATGGTGGATGCGGAAGGCAGAGATCTGATACCAGCTGCCTTGCGTCAAGCTTTCGTCCAGATGGTTCTCAGTTTAATGGTGAATCTTCGATGTCATCCAACCAAAGAGATGCTTCAGTACTTTTTCCCTTCTTTCACGTTCAGAACTGATTGCACCATTGGGGCGGCCCCTAGTTTCGATATAGCTAAAGCGGCATATTGACCGTCCTGCAATTGCCAGTTTGACTCTTTCCTTTGGTTGCAGGACACTCAAACTTACAAAGGCTATGAGACTCTCTCCTGTTTTTGAGGAGCTCATGCCCAACTTTTCGCTCGTGTCCATCCTGTTGTAGTTCCCCCTGAAATTACCATATTCAGAGGATCCACCTTTTAACACACGGACCCTTCCGAAACAACCGATTCACTCTGTGCCCTTTCTCTTGTCTGCGAGGCCACAAGATCCCACTAACCACTCATGGTCACTCATTCATGAAGTTAGGCTGGGCATTGGTCGAAACAACCAGGCCATGGACCAACGCAACCTTGAGCATAGTGGTTTGACCATTCAAAGATTTGGGTTGGGGGGGCTCTGCCCATGTTGTCGTTGTCACTGACTTGAACCCCGCAAAAGCTTGGATTTGCCCCACATCAACTTATGGGGAAACATAAATCACGTGCCCATGTGGCACACACCCCAAATATGCAAACCATATCTCCCCCATGAGTCGGTTCCCGAATCTCATGCGGATGCATGGTGCAGGCATGTCACGGGCACTAAGAGGCTACCACCCAGGCCACTTGGCGGTGGTTTTGACAATGGTACAATCATGATGCTTGAATTCACCCGAAAAGGGACACCCGGAACGCGATACCCATTATTTGATCATGTTATGATCTCGCCAATGGACACTTTCAGCCACCAACTACCCTGAGGATGATGTATAAGCCAAGTCATTAAAAGCCCCATATTAGCCCGACATATTCCTGGGCATGCTATTTACCCACAAAACCTTGATATAACCCTGGTGCAAGCTCATGTAAACCCCGTCATCCCATACCCAAGCCTTCTTTACACCATTTTTTGCAACCCACAAATGGCCACAAGGGGGTTGTCCAAATTACGGGCCTTGTCTGGTCGCCCCTTTAAAGGCGAACGGCGGCAAAGTCCAACAAGGACACGGCCCATATTTTGGACAAACCTCCACACGCAGGGTACTCCTGAAAATGGTGGTTTGGATTGGTGGTTTGGATTTGGATACTGCAACCCCTGGTTCTTGAGGGTCAAAGGGAAATCCCAAACCAAACCGATTCGGCTCCAGCCTTTTCGGGGGCTACCGGATGCGGCCGTGGGTCAAAACCCTGTACCTCCAGGGAACATCCCTATGCAACCACTATCGGTTCTAAAATGGGTGGTGCACCTAGCCCAAAATGGGATCCCAAAACCGTTTTGACCCAGGGCCATGTCACGTAGGCTCCTGCCTTTTTGGGGGCTACCTCTAAATCACGTCTCAGGCTGGGCTCCACCCCTTTCGTTTTTCCGGGGTTGCCGGAAATCACGTCTCAGGATGCCTCCAAACCACCCCTCCAAAAGAATCAAGGGTTCAAATCCCACCACCGATTCGGCTCCAAACCAGCCTTTTTTCAGGGGTTCCCGGATGTCACGTAGGCCCTGAACCCCTGGTTGAGGCTAAAATCGACGTCCTGAAAAGAGTTGGTACCAACTGATAACCTCGCAATACTGGAGGACCCAGTGCAAAAACGTGGAAAAAAAATAGGGGGGGCAAAAAAAAACGTCTCAGGCTGGGCCCCTTCTCCTGCTTCTGCCTCTGCGTGGAGCGGGGCTCCTTAGACGCCGGCGCCCAGCTGGCCCTCGCCCAGGCGGGCGCCCGGAGGCCCAGCGGTGAGCCTCACGTGGATCCAAAGATCGGGGGCCAAATGAGGCGAAAAAATCCTGCGGCTGGGTGTCCCAAACAGGTAAGTCCGAAAATGTGCCTCAAAACCTGTTTTTTGGTGCCAGTTTGGTTGGGATTGGTGAATTCACCACCCATTTTAGAACCTGACTTAGCGGTTGGATTGGGATGTTCACTGGGGGTACGATTTGGATTTTGACCCATGGTACGGGATTTTTGACCCATGGCCACCTGGCTGTGGTGGGCAAAAATCGGGGTCCGAATGAGGTAAAACCTGCGGTTTGTTTGGTGTCCAAAATAGGCAAATCCAAAAATGGGTGTCCAAAATCGGTGTCCGAAATAGGTAC